CAACAAATGTCTTGTAGACATTCTTATATATGCAAGGCATATGCAGCTTTTTCATTTATTTACTGAAATAAGGGATTAAATTTCAGAATTTGAAGAAGCATACAACTGTGTGAAATTTGTATTGAAATTTTCATTATGTGACAGCCATTTGAATTTATATGGCGACTTGGATGTGCTCGTCAATGCTGTTTAAATGTGTGACTACCTTTACGACAATTTAAAGTAAACCCTACAACTTTGCCGATTAAATTTGTCACCCACTATAACATATCAAATATATTAAATGGACACGAGACATATTTTGAAACTTAAACCGCTGCCAGCCAATAAAGTTTCACTATAATTATTTGAAGTTTTTTTTTAATCTAAATGTCAGCTTGATTTTTTCAAATGCGTATAATGTGGCCAATTTTAAAATAAGAATAAACATAAGAAATAAATAGACATGTTGTTAGACTTCCGTCAAGGACACTGACAATCAAGACTAATCAACAGTCAGTGTATGTGCCACTGGCAAGCCATATTCGAGACGGCCTCCTACACTTAACATGGTGGTTATCCTGACAATTGGTCTGCCGGCTTTGATGAGCGCTACAACCTGCCTCAGGGCTAGGTGGTGCGAGAGAGCCGATTCGCACATGAACTAGATTATAATGAGAATAAACTTGCACGGTACCAAACTCAATTGCGTTTTCTTACCCACACGGATCTGGTGTCAGATTCGTCACAGTGAGTAAAATATTTTGAGCTGTCAACTGCCCTCTCTACCTACCTTCCCAGAAATCAGGTACTGTTCAAGTTGGTCAGTTGAATGCTGCCTGACAATTCTAAAAGAAACCGATGAGAATTCGAAAGAAACATTCATGAAAACAAAAGCGCACGTCTTACCATGAATTCTTGGAAAAGTTGTATCGGAAGGGGAGTTTAAATAAAAATAACTGACCTCAAAGTTTATGAAAATTAAGAGGCGAGAATGGCTAGCCAGTGCAGTCTTATGAACTGACCTATAACAAACACAAATGCATGTGTATTTGTACTTGGAAATTAATAAGTGTGAAAGAAGAATGATCAGTAATGTAGGGTACTCCGCATAATTTGCAGGCGACCTATTCGGAAGCACGTACTCGTTTCACAGAAGCAGCCATCTTTGAATGATAGCATTCCATTTGGCCGCCTATGTTGTCCACTTCTGGCTTAGAACATCCTTTTTTTATATCTAAGCGTATCCTATTTAACAGAAAAGCATAACTTGGAAATTTTTAAACACGATATTTGCTTGCTTGAACATGCTTTAAAATGAGAGTATGACCCTGGAAATGAGTGCACGTTTTATAAGGATTTATTGCATTAAATAAATTTGACTAACAAGTCAGGTAGAAATTCTGTCTTTAATAAGTTTACATATCACCTGAAAATATGTCTTCGAAATAATTCTCAACTGTCGAGCACTAGATATCTGGGACGTAGTTATAAACTACATGCCTGAAATGATTTCTGCTTGGCGATACTTTAGAAAAGTGCAATTCAGGACTGTTTAGTGCAGTACTGATTGAATCGGTTTAGTTTCAGCTTGTTTACCTGCAATTCTACTTGTTTGAACACTATTAACTGCACCGAATGTTTTTCATATCATCAGGCTGTGAGATCTATGGATTCTTGCAATGGGTATGTGGGTTCGCTTCTATCAATACCGCGGTGATGCTTTCAGTCGATCGATATTTAGTTATTGTTCAGCCATTTAAATCAATGGCAAGAATAAGCCGCCGACGTGTCTTTCTGATGATTGTTGTCGCATGGGTTTGGTCCCTTATTTGGAGCTCACCTCCTTTCTACGGTTTTGGTAAGTTTTTGT